AGGTAAAACAACGTACACTAGGATAGTCACGATTTAGCTCCTTAGCTTGTCTCTGATGGTCAGCAGCGTGCCATTGCACATGGGCAATTTTACCGTTGACGTCTTTGAAACCTTACAACGTCTTTATGGAAAACAATTTTTAAGGAAGATTTTATTATCAGATGAACAAAATGAGGGGGGTTTTTGAGATTCAATCAAAGGGATTGGTTTAAGAGAAGACTGCTTGAGGACAGCGGGTGCCTGGAATTTAGTAAAAACGTCGACGCTTAGACAATCTTGGAATAAAATTCTTAACAGAAAAACAAACGAAACTGAATTTTCTGAACCAATACATCTTCCAGATATGCTTCTTATGTATGAGGCATATAGTTGAACTTTTCTTAAAATTTAAATTGCTCCTTAATGAAATAAGTTCTATGTTCTCAAAAGAAAGTTCCAAAATCTTCTGTCAGTTTAAACTGCATTTAAAATCTTTCAAAGTTAATCCAATACTACATAATACTTGGATTTCCATAATAAAACTCTTCTTTAAATACCAAATTGATGCATATAAAATTTTTGAAAACTTATTTCTATTCTGTTCTAAATTAATGGAAATACCATTTTATTGATTTGAAAGAAAATAAATTTTACATGAGACTCAATTCTGATTGGAACAAACAGAAATGTTCTGGCAAATGATACATTCTGATTAATCAAATTTCTTTTTTGGGTAGGTAGGGATGGAGTGTGTCAATAGTTTTTAGTATTCTTTTTTTCTATTCAGACTTTTTTTTAAAAAAAAAAAAATTTGGATGTATCTAATTACAATAAAAGTCTTACAGAATAAAAAAAATGGCCTGCAGGTGTTAGTGATGAAATAAGAGCATTACAAATTATCAGATAGTTGGTGATTTAAAATCATTTCAATATAATTAAAATAAGTAGAAAATAAATATTTTGAGCTTTATCAGCGTTTTACATGAAATTTTTTAGGAGTATGTCATTACCATAACAATCATTGTGACCAGGGTTGGGGTTTTGGACATCCTAAACTGGTTTTGGTCTTAAACTGGATAAAACTGTCTTAAAGTGTTCAAAACCTTGAACTTTGGTAAACGGTAAAAATTCTATAGGTGTAACCATTGTACACATTATAATTACATGTATTGATAAATATTTGATATTTTTTATGCAATTTACTTTAACTTATTAAAGGAAAATAATATAATATAATAGGAAAAGGTTTATAATTTTTGAAGCTCAGAACAAAAGTCAATAAAGAACAAAAGTCAATACCTAACCCTTTAAATATAAATATGCTTTTAACACTGATAAATAATGTTTCTGCATAAGGATAAATAATGCAATATTAAATAATAATGATTTTTTAAAAAAATACTAAATTTGTTTAAAAATTAACCTTTTATTTTTTACAATATTTTTTTAAAAAAATTTTATAATTTCTGCTTCACAGGATGATAAAAAAGACATCTATTTAAAAAGAAATTGTTTTTAAATATGAATATATAAGTTTTAATTGGAAGCACAAAATAACTGAAAAATGTATTAACAGTTTTGAAGGGCATAACATCAGTTTCAGTTACTAACACTGGTGATGTATCACCACTATGCTAAAAGAATCGAACATGAATGAAATAAAAGTATTCTTGAATAGTACTTATAGATAAATAAACCTGTTTATGAGTAACCAAGCACTTAGTCCCTAATAGCTTAACCTGTATGGCAAGGTCAAACTTCAGTTATGTGCTATTGAAGGAGAGGACCAATTGAACTTGATTACTGATTAATCTTCCATTGTTTATTGTTTAAATTGAAGAGTCAAACAATATTAATAAAACATTATATTTTTAAAAACAAATATTCTCTAGTAGATTTAATTATCAATAGGTTATTAGTTCTATGTTTATTCTACCTTTTAAATATTGTTCAGATAAAATTGTGACATAATTTGAGTAAAAGGGTTTTGGACAATGGGGTTTTGGACAGGACGGTTTAAACCGTGGATTAATCCATTCTGTCCTTGCCAACCCTAATTGTGACAAATAAAAGGATAAAATTAACTATAAATATTCATAAGTTGGTCTTGAATTGCATTTTAGAATCAAACAAAATGCTCGAATTGAAATAAAGTGTACAATGATTTTCTCTCTGATATTATTCAACATCATAAATTCTGATTTTCTCCTTCCATAAAGATCAAAGTTAGTTCAATTAAAAATAAAATTTAATGGCTGCTTTTTATTATTTGGTATTGCCGTCTACTCTTTTCGAGAAACTTTTATCTTTTTTTAGATTCTGATATCTCTCATTTACCAAAGCTATATGATTCTGGATAAATTTATTTACAAAAAAGGTGAAATTTTGTTCATTCTCAATTTTTTTCCTTTTCTTTTTTGAAGAAAAAAATAATTTAAAAAATTTTTACTTTATTTTACTTATTTTTCTACCATTCTCATTTATTACACTCTAGTTACAATTACAATTAAGGACTATAAATCATCAAACTACCAGTACTTTTAACGCATAATAATTCATAAGAAAAATATTTTTTTTAAAAAAGTGAGTGAACCCCCATCAAAATTTTTATATCATGTTAGTTTGCACTTTCAACTATCTTTGCCTAAAATATTTTTGAAATTGAAGGGGGCGAGTTGCCAGAAATCAGCTCCTGAAGTTACTCAACTCCGTTGATCAAAAAACTGCAAAACAGACCCATTTACTAAATAAGTAAGATAATTATTTGAAAACAAATCTGTGTAAATGACAGATTATTTTATTATGAACAAAATAAAAAAAAATTATTGCTCTATGACAAATATAAGGTGAGTTACAATCATTAATAGCCTTTGATGTATGAATCAAAATGGCGGCAAATGTGCCATTTTGGCAAAAATATAAATGCTTATAACTTTTAAACCCCACAACTGATTAAATATAAATGATATTTTTGAAATCAGCATCAAAATCTGAGACAGTGGGTGCCATTTTTGTAAAATCCTGTATGATTTGACATGGAATGACCCACATTTAAGGTTTGGAATTTTACTGGCAATAGTAATTTTTGCAAAAACAATGATTAAAAAAAGTGTGTCTGTTCAAATATTCATGACATAACTTTAAGCTTCTTATTAATTAACTATGCTGAAATCTAGAAATTTTAAATTAAAGACTTGAAATATATAATAAATATTTTATTTACTGAATTGAGCAGAAAAAAGTGCAGTTTGCTTATAGTGACAGTTTTGATAATTTAAAATTTTATTTCAATTATTCAAAGTATTGAATGAATAAGTAATATTGTTTCCACATGGCATAGCAAAATAAAAGCTTTGAAGAGGATTTTCGAAGAATAATTGTATCTTATATCAGAAGGAATTTTAAAAAAATATTTAAAAATGTCTTTTTAATTGTAGCAGAACCAACAAATGTGCCATTACAGATTTAACACGCGTCTTGCTGCATATACACATTGGTTGTTTTGTCGGCCATCTGGATCATGCTCATTGTCTCCTGCCCTCCAATCATCGATGTGAGCATCTTAACAGACCGTGCCACCGGAAAGCTTAATCTTCCTTCATTTGGAAAATATGACCATTGATTCTTTTTGAGCTTTTTATCCGTATATATATTTAATATTCTGTATATTATATAGTCCTTGATAATATTGATGGTTCTTTCTATATTTTAAATAAGCAATATCCATTTTATTAATTTTTGCCAGTCTGATATTTGCCGTGTTATTATTAATTTTTTTTCTCTGGCTTTTTCAACCTCTGCAAAAGTTTGCTAACCCTGACACTTTTCAACTAATTACCATGTATTTGGCACAGCCTAACTGATTCCGTCTCTTTTGCTTTTAAATTCCAAATAGGAGTGATTAATTGGCTTTCACAGAAGAGTCCAAGAGTAATTTCTAACTCACTAATTTGCTCTTGAAATACTAATGCTCTGGATTTAGAGTGAAACAACCATTGTAGAACCACAAAGTTATATGTTCATGCAGGTGAAGTATATAATGGTATTAAGCTGCAGTTGGTATTATTTCATTACATAGAAATGACATAATATGAAGTTCAACCAGATTCCATGTGTTATATTTTTTCTAAAAAAAAAGGTCTTATTTTATATTGAACTCAATTTTATTTGTTGGTTTAAAAGTAAATTTTATTAATTAACTAGTGGTAGTAATGAAGCTGAACTAAGTTGTTTTTATTTAATCTGAAAAATATAGGATGTCCAGTGATCGTTCTATACCTGGTACTTCAAGAATAAGTGATAACACATTTAAGCCTTGTCAAGAACGTGATAAAGAAAAAGTAAATCCTAAGATGGCAAAAGCTCTCAGTACAAGTGCTAAACGGTAAGTAAGATACTGATTTTTTAAATTTAGGTATGCTGGTTTCTAAAATTTTAACATTCCTGTTTTTTATATTTCTTTATTACAGAATTCAAAAAGAACTAGCTGAAATTACTTTAGATCCTCCACCTAATTGCAGGTAAAATCATATCTTCTGAAGTTTAAAAGTTATTACAGGGGTCTGTCTAGGTTTTTCTGAGAGGTACTTAATTTGTGAAAATTTAGACATAATTTGTGAAAATTAAAAATTATATTTAAAAAATCAACAGAAAAATATGGTAAAAATATAAATTTATCGTCTTTGCTTTCGAAATGCAAACAATAGTTTATAAATGATATATAAAGGGTAAACTTACCCCTCTCTTGGGTTCTTGGACACCGGGGCCTGTCAAGATTTCTTAACTAATACTAAGCGATCTGAAAAACATTTGTACATTTAATTACATAAGTAAATTACTAAATGTGTCACTAGTTGACGACTGACATGCTGCTTTCAGTGAGTGATAACAACAACTTCTATCGCGCATGCGTTGGGAAAGTTCTGCTCGGTTACAGTTGCGTTTCCGGCATTGCTCCCACTTTGCGTACTTGAAAAAACATAAAGGAAAGTACGCAACCAAAGTCACATTAGTGTATAAAGTCACAGTCCGAGTCTCTGAACAGGTTTTACTACCCGGTCACATCGGGTTCCTTGTTCTTGACAGTTAGCATTCGAAGTCTCCATTGATGCTGTCTCTTCAATCAAGGGGGATCTCTTTTCATCTTCTACTTCCAGTGGATAAAGTTTTTGGTATGGTCGAACAAGTTCTCCATTCATAGTTTTTATTCGTGCAACACGAGAGTTTCTATCAACTCCAGGATAAAGTTCCAGTATTTTAGCCATAGGCCAGTCTAACCTTTTAGCATTGTCATTTCCTACAAGAACAATTTGGCCAACTTTAAAGGTGGTGGGGAGTTTGTTTTTTGAATAATTTTTCAATTGACCCAAGTACTCAATACAGAATCTTTCCATTATATCTTTTAATTTCTGGCAATAGCGGAAGCGTTTATTTAGATGTGCTGAATCATATACGTCTAGTTCAGGTAAACTTCCAAATCGGATCTCTTGCAGAAATAAAGATAGAGTTAAGGGATGTACGCCATCGACATCTTCGGAAAGATAAGTTAGAGGTCGATTATTTATATTGCTCTCAGCTTCACACAAAATGGGATACAGTTCATCAAAATTTAGCCGAGCTCGTCCCATTATTCCTTTGGTCATTCCAATAAGACGCTCCCCCCATCAAGATGAACGTCCACTTAATTCTTTGTATTGAGGCTATTTTTTCGACTTTTTGCCAGTCGATAGATTGGAAAATAATATTATCTCCTATAAAGTTTTTGCCGTTGTTAGAGTTGACATGAGAAGGTCTTCCTCTTCTTGAAACGAACCTTCAGAAAGCTAGTAAGAAGGTTTCAGTGCTCAATGATAGAACAAGTTCAATGTGTACTGCTCTGATTATTGCACAATTAATAGACAATTAAATAAAACAAACCAGCTCTTTTCTTCATTACTTAAATACAGGGGTCCTCCTAAATCTATGCCCGTTATTTCAAAAGCAGCATTTTCACGAGTTTCTCAGGTAAAGTCACTGACAATACCTCTGTATTCTGAACTTTAAATAGTTGGCAATTTATACATCTCCATATGACTCGACGAATAGTTCCTCTACATTTTATTATCCAGATTTTTTCTCTTAATGGAGTCATTAAGGTTTGAACTCCAGCGTGACTCAACTTACGATGATGTTAAAGTATTAGCAAATCAACAACAGGATGTTTACTCGGAAGCACAATGGGTCGTTTAAAATCATCAGTGCCTTCTCGTTGAATCAAACGGGTGGTCACTCGAATTACACCAGTTTCATCCAATTGTGTTTGTAATGATTTCAAAATAGGATTAGAAACGGTTCCAAAAGCTTCTAATTGTATGGCTTTCAATAAAATTACTTCAGCTTGCTCTATTTCTTCAACGGTGAGTGTAAGAGAATACCTTTCTAACCTCGTCTTCCTAACATTAGAAAGGAAACGCATCACCCAAGCGATTGTTCTTACAAACTTAGGGTATGAAGAAAGCTTGTTTTGATACCATGGTATCTTCTCTGTATTTACAATAACAGTTTTCCTTTTCGCTTGACTTAAAATTTCCTGTTCCGTCTCAATTTGAACTGATTTAGGCAATCTTTTTTTCGGATGCTTTAGCCATTCTGGGCCCTGTAACCATCTTGATTCAATTAGGTGTTTGATGGTACTACCTCGAGACGGTGTATCTGCAGGATTATATTTTCCAGGTATGTAATGCCAATTATTAGGATGAGATACAGTTCGAATTTCCTTTACTCGATTGGCAACAAAAGTAGCCCAATAATCTTCTCTTTTTATCCACCCAAGAGCATTTGTGGATTCAGTCCAATAGTATGTTTCAATATCTGGACCTTTTATGTCTTTCTTAACACTCTCAGCTAGGCGAGCAGTTATTAAACACGCTAAATGCTCAAATCTTGGGATCGTTATTGCCTTCAATGGTGATACTCTGTTCTTAGCTCTGACTAATTCGCAGGACACAGAGTCTTTGGTTTCTAGTTGAATAAAAATGCAAACAGCATAAGCACATTGACTGGCATCGGCAAACACATGGAGGCTACAGTGTTTCAAGGGAAAAGTTCTCTTCATCAACCATCTAGAAATAAAAATGTCTTTCAAAATTACAATTTGATTTTGCCAATTCAGAAATTTCTTTGCATTATCCTCAGGTAGTTCTTTATCCCATGGAATTTTTTGTTTCCGGCAATCCTGGAGAAGTAATTTTGGCAACAATGTAAAAGGGCAAACCATGCCTAGAGGATCATAAATTTGTTGAGCAACAACCAGAATTTTCCTTTTTGTAACTGGAAAAGGATCTTTAGTTACTTTATAATTTGAATTACAGTGATAAATCCCAGGAAAGTCCCAATGCCGAAATTAAATTTCCTTCGTCCAGCTTTTCTGTCTTCAGTGATTATAGGTGGAACAGGGTCATTCTCTATGATAGAATAATTTTTTCGCCATCCTCTCAAATAAAATTCTCCAGACAATAATAATTCTTTCGATTGTTCCACAAAAATTTCACAGTCTTCAATTGTGGCGAGACAATTATCAACATAAAAAGTGTCCTGTATAAACAAAGCAGCGTCCTTCAATTGAGGTGGAGCCTTCGCTAAGTGGTGTTTAAGAGTGGGGCTTAACAAAAATGGATTGCAGGTGAGTCCAAAAACAACCCTGCAGTGTCTGTAAATTTTCAGTTTATTCAAATCACCGTCTATGATCCAGAGAAATCTTAAATAGTTTCTATCTTATTTAGACACTGACCTGTAAAAAGGCCTGTTTAATATCCCCGGTTACCGTAAATTTTTTCATGCGGAAACGAGTTAAAACAGTGAGAATAAGTTCCAGAAAATTAGTCCCTTTGGCAAGACATTCCTTCAAAGAGGTTGAATTCTTTGTTCGTGCTGTCGTTGATGAATTTTTAATTACAGCTCTGTGGGGAAGAAAATGTCCAGGTAGAACCTCATTATCCATATTCACTTCTTCAATAATTCCTTCATTCAACCAAGCCAGCAAGACATCTTGATAAGCTTCTACGATTTGAGCTGCTTTCAATCTGTTAATTGTTGTTCGCAATCTTCTTTCTGCTAATTCTCTCCCTTCAGAAAGTGCAGGGTGTAACTGAAGCCAAGGTAACTTTACTTCATACCTACCTTCATTGTTAAAATTTAGATTGCTTTGAAAATGTTCATAAGCAGCCTGGCATGGCTCAATTTTTGTTTGACTTTCGACTGGATCTGCAATTCCTATTCTTTCTAAACTCCATATGTCTGGCAGGCTGATGTCACTTAGTGAGTAAGGATATGATTGACAAACAGGATTCCGAAACAGGAAACACATGTGGAATTTCCCCCATTATTGTCCAGCCCAGGTGAGTACCAACTGCAACCAGCCCAGCTTCTAAATTCTGAATTTACCGTTTAACAGCTTCCCAGCTACGTTTACTCCTATCAGTAGCTGAAGCTCAGAATCGACTGCTCAAGAGGAACAATAATCCAAATCAGTTAAATTTATTCCTCTTTTCTGAAGTTCTTTCATCCATGGTCCATGAGGAGTTTTCCTTGTGTCACCACATATCATTTCTTGTTCTAATACTTTGAAATTACAATTGTAAGTTTAATCCAAACTAGTTAAATATACTATAAAACAGTGATGCATTTGCTGTGGAGATTCAAGGCTACCAAATAAGCTATGTATTATAGGAAGTTCTCCTAAACTTTCATAGTTCATCAATTTTACAGTCTTTGCACTAATATAGGAATGCTGGCTACCTGTATTAATCATGGCCAGTATAAGATGTCTAGTATTTTTAGCTCTAAGATGTACCTGTAAAGTTTGTAACAATACACTATTTTTATTCAACAGAATTGTTAGTATTTGATCTTTTGAATATTCATCAGGTTTAGGGGTATCTGTTATTTTGGATTCATTGGACAAATTTGGACACATTATTGTACAGTGAAATTTACAGCAGCAAAAACACTATTTTACAATAATACTCTTTAGAAACATGACCCTTTTTTAAACATTTGAAACAGCAACCAGATTTCCTAACTAACTCTCGTCTTTCATCTAAACTCATATTTTTTGTTTTATTGCAATCTCAAGAGTAATGTTTTTTAGCACAAAAAATACACTTTCTTTCAAAATTATCATTTGTATTTAACAGTCCTGAAGCAGTAGGAATATCATATTTGTTTTCATTAAATTTACGCTTATAATATTTCTTGTGTGTTTCTCTTTCATAATTAAATGTATTTTTAGCAATGGCTAATCTTTGTTCTCCTTCTACTTCTGATTTCAAAAATTCCAAGAGAAGAGTTAATTTATTTACTTTCCCCTCTTCCTTATTTTTTACTAAAAGAGAACTAATATGGTGCTCCCATATTTTCAAAATATCTGACAAACAGCTTTCTACCAGTGGTTACAGCATTGCTGCATATTTGTCTGAAGTAACTCAATATGAGATTTTTCCGCTTTTTAGCGGATTTCCGCTTTTTTCACTTTTATCTCTTGAATATCAGTTTTTTTATCAAAAATTCAGATTTTCTAAAAATTTCACATTTTTTTATAAGTATTCCACTTTTTCAGAAAATTTACTGATTTTCTAAAAGAAACAGAAAATTCACTGATTTTCTAAAAGAAACAGAAAATTCAAACTAAATAGCTACCAATCCTTTCTCATTTTTACTTATTTTGGCTATTTTCTCCCCTTTTACACGCAGCAGATAAGGTTTTCCGAATTTTTTACCTGACCTCCAGATAGATCCGATTTTCGTAGTTCATACGACACTGCTTCTGACAAGCCTTTTAGAGGTCCTAAGCCTGGAATCTGCTAATATCTCGATTCTTATTCACACGATTTTCATTTCAAACATAGCTTTTCATATTTGCGTGTTGTGATTCTTATTCACGCGATTTGAATATTGTATGTTGCGATTCTTATTTACAAGATTTAAAAATCCGATATTGTGATTCGTATTTACGCCTTTTTAAAAACCTATGTAGCCATTCGTATTCACGCAAGTTTAAAATTAATGTCTTGATTTGCTCATGCTGTTTATAATATCAAACATTGATTTTCATATTTATACGTGATTTTAAAATAAGGCATTGGGATTTGCATTCACGCATTCTAAAAATTATGCATCATAATTCTTATATATGCAATCTAAAAATTACGTGTCATGATTCGTATTTACGCGATCTAAAAAATTATGAATCGTGATTTGTATTTACACGTTTTAAAAATTCTATATCCAAGTTTGAATTTTCTCATTTTCAAAATCGTATATCTAGTTTCATATTCATGGGATTTCAAAATCCATAATTGTTATTCATGTTCACACAGTTATAAGATCAACTATCGTGATTCTTGTAAAAAGTAAATTTTTTTTTGAATTAGTTACTATAAAGGTGACTGTTTTTCTAACGACGATTATTAGTATATGTAAGTGTTACAACATCAGAGAAACTGGAAGGGAATATATTCAAAACTTACATTCTGTGCTTGCAGAGAAGAAAAAATAGGATTTGTCACAAGATGTTTGAAGATGGACTAACGACTAAATATAGGAAACATAAAAGATATAGCAAACAAAAGCAATCACTTAAAAGGGATTTAATTAAATTTTAAATTTTTTTTTTTGGAAAAAGAGTTTATTAACTCATTATCAAAGTTTTATTTATAATTGCTGTTATTTATGCTATAAAATGCAAAATTCTTATCAAATAAGAAACAATTATCTAAGCAGCTGATTGTCGTGTAATTTTTCAAACTAAAGTAGCATTTTTTTTGTGTTAAGGAGTTACTATATATTTCTACTTCACTGTTATTGATATGTTTCAGAGGGCTCTAGTTAGATTAGACTATAATATAAACATAATGATTTGGTCCATAGATAAAGTTTTTTTTTCCCAATATAATTTGAAAAGTAATGTTACTGATATATTTGCTATAAATCACATAACATTATTTATTAAAAGAGATGAATTATTAATGTATATTCTCAGTAGTTTTAATTTGCTAAACCAGGTAGTTTTTCAAGTAATAATTGTCTCTTATGTGAACTTAGGAAAAATATAATTTCCAGCTTTATTTTTTCAATTGGTAATTTTTATTTTCACTAAATGTTAAGTATCAATGTAATCATTTATGTAATAATAGATTAGTACACAATTGTATGTCAACACATTATTTATTACCTTAAACTGTCTGGAATTTATTATTAAAGAGTTGTGCTTGGGTAAAATTTACTATCGTGGAAATTCAGCTTTTTTGCCTTTTGGCTAATCTCATCCCTGGTAACTCCTAACGTACCTAAGGATCTTAAGTACGCTTCGATTTTATCATAAAGTTTAACCAAATGGCATTGATTATAATTTAAAACTAAACTCAGCAGTTCTCTTACGTATACTTCAATAAGAAGTTCATCTTTCCTAAAACACGCTCCCAAAACACAAAAAAATAAAATAGAAATTCGCCAAATCTTGAATGCCAGGAAAATGACATTATCTTAGAAGTTTAAAAAACAATCATTTTAAGTTAATAGTAAGTAACTCAACTTAAGCCTTTATGCTAGATGGACCATAAATTGCTTAAATTAATTCTCTTTATCCACTGTAGAAAGAATCAAAAACGTTTTCGTTGATGATGTGTATAGAATAAAATTGTGTATAATAATCAATCATAAAATAAATAAATAACTTTGATTACATCCAAGCATATTACAATCATACATAAACTTGGTATTAGGTTAATATTTGATTTCCTTCCTTTATTAGCAGTTGAAAAAAATTTCTGGTAACACTTCAATGTCCTAGCATTCATAAGCCAGGATAATAACAAATTTGCCATTTTGTAGCATATAACTTTACTTTAATTTAATATTTTGGCCTAAGACGTTTATATTCTGCGGAAGACAACAGGATTTCTTAAAATAACTTAGATAAATCTATGTAGTTTATGTTATTAATGATTTCAAGAAGCTAGGAAAATGACAACACAAAAACGTACTCACCATGAAAAATTTTTTGAAATAGATTTTGAACCAGAAAATTGCTTCTTTATTCATGCAACAAGACATGTTCATATAGGAGGGTATCTAATCAATCTATTAACATTAGATATTGATTGCTGGCTCTTACCTATTTTGGTTATAAACCACTAAGTAATAGTAGCCAGGAAAATGACAGAGTTTTTTGGGACAAACAAATTATTGACAGAAAAAATTATTTTAACCAAAGTTTTTGTAAATAATACCCTCTGCATATATTCTAGAAATGCTTACACAGGTTGAGATAAAAAAAAAAATAGGTATTGAAAAATTTATGGGAAGTTTTGAAGCTAGTTATTATTGGAAACATTGTTTGTGACATGCCAGAAACATGAAATTTTGAAGTTCAATTAAATTTTTTAACTATACAAAATAGGCAATGCTAGTGCAAAGTCATTTTAAAATGCTAACAGCATTGCTATTTATTAATTTTTTTTTTAAAAAAAAAAGTTCTTTTAGTATTATAGTATTAGATCTTGGAGCAAGGGACAGTGAATTGTCATATTTCGTGAGAATCACCCGTATGTAGCAAAATTAGCATAGATGGATAAAAAAAATTGAATAATTTCATAAATTGGCCGATATTAAGTAATGATTTTATATATATATA